AGGAATAATTTCCCACAAGATGGGATAAAAGTAATTTAGCTGAAGGCTTTATTGCAGCAAGGACTGTAAGCAGCGCCTTGCGTAAAAGCACAGCAACAGCAACAGAATATTGCCAGGAACTGTGTCAGCTGTAAAAGTTAGTCCGGCTGTGAGAGCTTGTAGGTACACAAGAAACCGTATGCCGTATCAGCTTTATATGCAGTAAATTTCTTTCTTTAAATATCAGGCAAATGTTTATTTTCCTTTAGTTTCCTTTCCTTCCTCTCCTTTTTTTGTCCAGTACAGCTTAAAGTCAGGTGGTCTCCCTTTTTTTTTTTTTTTTTTTTCCTTTTGGTCACTCCAGGGTAGCATCTGCTATTGTTCCTTTTGAGAATGTGGATTTGCAGCCACTTTTTCTTTGCAACCTTTTATGTTGCACAGTCTCGCTGCTTTACTTTGATGGAAAAAAAGGAATTGCCATTTGACTTGCAGAAATAGGTTCTGGAAAACAGTAAAATGAAATTTCCATTTACTTAAAAGAAAAACTGTACCAGCTCCAAACAATTATCCATCAATAATGTATTTGTAGCTAATCAAAGACCACATTCTCCTAGCTTTTTTGATTGTTTGCAGATACTGTATATTGGTTTATATTGACAATATTCATTACAGTAAAATGAAATTGTAATCTCTATAGTGATAAATGTGACGCCACCTGATCTGCAGGCAGTGCAGGAAGAAATTATTCGTAGGTGGGGACCGTGTTGTAATAGAGCTGCAATTCAAATAAATGTGTCCCTTTTTTAAGTGTGTAGATAATTACATCAAAATAAAAGTAACTTGATTCTAAGGATGCAATTCAGAATTAATTCTACCAAACACAGCTCTTCACTCGGGTGGATGTTTGTCGCCATACTGCCTGTTCTCCTTTTACAATAACTTGGTTTAGTAACTTGATTTCCCTGCCCGAGCTGCGCCCACAGCACTGCAGGTAGGAACCAGCGTTTCCCTACGGGACTGTAACCCTGCCTTCCCATCCTGCTGCTCCGGCCCGGAGACCCTTACTACATCCTTCTTTAAACGGATAGTAGTTCTTCCTCCTTCCAGTACTTTCTCGAACTTTGCTAAACTTGATAGTATTTCTTCCTCATTCCAGTACTTTCTCAACTTTGCGTTCAAGTTTTTTTTATATACTTAAAACAATCGCCCGTGTATTTCAGCTAGTGATTTAGTCCTGCTCTCTGGCCTTCAAGCTTATTTAAAAAATGAGTGTCTTTCTGAAAGTTCAGCCCCACCTGATGGCACTTACACCCTTTGTGAAAGTCACTGAAAAATAGTTTGATGTGCTCCTCACAGAAGTACACACTGTTATATTGTAACCACAAAAATATTAAAAATGTGAATAGCAGCTTTGTGGATTTCCAGTAGCAGGATGATAGACAGCACCTTGGCGGTGTGGGTATAGCTGCAGAATTGACAACTGAAAGAGTACTGAGTTTTGTTTATAGTTTACCTGGAAAATATTATTATACTAATGCAGTATACAAACATTGTACATTCCAGAAGTAGTGCTTCAACAATATTTGGAAGTAAATTCTGAAATTTAACTACAGTTAGGTTGGACTTGTGGGGAAAAGGAAGGTTTTACCACATCTTAATGTCGCGAATACGGTTATCGGTACAGGAGTTAAAAATTTCAATGAATCCATTCATCGACAGTTAATGTTGAGGAGTTTCTTTTATATGTTCTACTCATGCAGGTGATACTTTTTTTTAAAAAAAAATAAATCAAAAGCATTTAAATTTTTGAGGCTTTCTAAATATGCTGGGTTTTTATAATGACTTTTTTTTAATGTTGAGTTCCTGAAACAAGTGGAACACACCTAACAAATTCATTACAATCTAACACTTCGATGCCATGCTGAAATTATTCCAAACTTCATGCAACTTTGATACTGCAAATTCATTAGCAAGCCCTTGGAGAATGTTGTTTCAAGGCAAGCGGCTAGTCTATGCTCGGTCGGAGGGTAGATGAACAGTGATGAGAGAAGGGAAGCCTATTGCTGACAAAAACGGTTTGTCTGGCTCAGATCAAAAAAGGCCCATGAAGAAACTTCTCCGATTTAGTTGAAGCTTTTGACACTTTAGGAAAGCTGTTTGGTTGAGGTCAGTTTGCTTAAATCATGTAACTTCTGTGAATTATTTCTTCACAAGCATCTGACTTCAAATGAAGTTTAGGCTTTACCAAGTTACAGTATTTGTTTTCCTCTCTTCCAGAATAAGAGTTTGTTGAGTGCTGATGGACTTGCACATTCGGCACACGTGGGCTTATGGCTTCCGAAGGTTATTTGTACCTATCAGAGGTTATTTGGATTTCGTGTCTAGGTAGAAATGAGTATTTACCTAGCATGCTGTTAATAAAGGTATCTACATCAGTGTAGGTATTATCCAGCACTCGGGGGACCCATGATTGTACAAAGTAACAAGGCAATTTGAGAGTCTGTAATATATCAAATAATTACCTAATAAAAATAGCTTTAAATAAGATGCTTACATAATAAAAATAACTTTTAATAGGCATATGTACTAGTTCTTAATAGGACCCATTTATAAAACCAAGATGATTTGCTTTACTAAACATGAATAATTAATTTGGAAATATATTTTTATTTTGTGACATTCTTAGCATCAATTAACGTCAATTTGTTAGTTTCTTAACACCAGTTTGTTAGAAAAATTTTAAAATTCATCTTTTTTCAGTCTGAACTTTAATCTTGAGCCAAAAGCGGGGAAAAAAACTCTGAAAGACAAATTGGTATCGCAAAATCCATTTTCATACTACAAGATCCAACTCTGGCCTAGTTACTGTAGTTTTACTGCTGTTTCTGTCAGGTACAGTAATCCTTCATTCTGTCTTTCGTTAATTCTTTACTAAAAAAAAGGCAATATAGGTAAATTTAGTCATCAATCTATTTTTATATTTGTTTATTTTTTTTGAATAAATCCTGACTCAACAGCTAAGTGACCAGTTGAGTTATTAACTATTGCCAGAACTGTTGGTTTGGTGAGATGGGGATACCATGCTGAAAGGTTTAATGAAATGTCATTAAATTAAAATTTTTTCATTTCTGAACTCAGTTTTAGGTAGCTTATTTTTTAGAATGCCTAAGTAGTCTGAAAGCTATTTCCCACAAAATTGTTGTGTGTTTTAACAATAAGGCATCCTATTACAAAATATAAACCATTTAATAAAAATGCAAACAGCGCACTGAAAGTTCCTGGAAGTTTTCCAATTATTTCTATCTTCTCAAAAATTTTGTCTGTTTATACATTTTGTAGCAGGTTCTTTGAACTCTGTTCTGTCAATTCTTCAATTATAAATTCAAATATTTTATACCCAAATGAGCACAAAAGACATGTTTTAAAGAACATTATTTTTTTAAAGTACCTAGGTATTCCACTACTAGTTTCCCAATCTGAGAGAAAAGCTGTTTTATATGCACTTGGAATACATGACAACCAATTAGCTCGACACCTACTCAGCCTCTGTAATTCTTCCATCTTCCACAGCGAGGTCTGTAGTTTGGATGCGTAAGGAAACTTTTTTCCCACCTTTCCCCTTTCATATTTAATTCCTCTTTTTATAGGTCAAATTATGCAGGATTTGTTTAAAGCACAGGAATCTTCACTATTTACTGCTGCTTTAAAATTTAGGTATGCTTTTCAGTAGGTACCTAGTGCTAAAAACATACCATCAAGGAGGGAAACAAAGGGATGGAGGAGTTTTCTGAGCCAGTCGTGGGTCTGGAGCTGGGCAGAAAGCATCCTTACTAAGTGCTTTGCACTAATAGTAGTGGAAAACAAAGTGTAGTTTTCAATGTGACATTCTTGACACAAGAAAACTACTGTGTAAGTAAAGCTTGTACAATTATTTGGCTGATGGTTCTAGTTTAGAGATTTTTCATGCTTGTAAAAACAACCTTTACAGATGTTTAAATGGGAAGAAATAACTACAATCAATAACGCTTTATAATGCTTTATAACACTTTCTTTAAATCCTGGCTTTTTTGTTAATAGTTCTCTATACTGATATTTTATTCATGTTTTTTCTCTTGTATAATGCATGTTGAGTACTGTTTCTGGATCTTATGATTTCAAAAGAATAAACCAGAGCGCTGCTGGATAGCTGCATGTGTGGTAGCATTGTTCATCTCTTCTCCATTACCCTTTAAAGAGTAACAACTTACTTTCTGTGTGGGCTTCTAATTAATGTGCTCTTCTGCATCTCCTCTATTGTTTTAGTTCTGTTTCTCCCACAAGGGAAGATTGTTTTCCTGGATTTTGTAATCAGTGACCAGACATTGCTAATGGCACCAACTTCCAATTCTTTCTAGGAGATTGGTATATTTTCATTCTGCTTCAGTTTTTTTTTCCAGAAATCTCGGTGAGACCCTACTCTTGATTGGTAACTCCAGAGGAGTTCACTCTGGGAGGGGAAACTCACTGGACTTTGGGAATGCCATATAGACTCAGAGGCCTAACATCATTCATTGCACTCAGAGTCAGGTGTTTTGAATATGAGTTATGTCTGCATATAATTGACATGAAATTATATCAATAACCACATCCTTTAAGTCAGAATTAAAATGGGAAGTATGGAAGCTGAAGTGATGGCTAATTACCATTAAAAGTGAAATTGCCTGAAATTGCTCAAAGTAGAAAGGGGAAGAAATAAAGTAAGTTTAAAATGCAATTATATTTTTTAGGTCTTTCCAATATTTTTATAAAATGTACTGCATAAATTGCTCAAAGTTGTAGCAAAATTAGTCATCGTTAACTGATGTATGCTAATCTGTGTTGGTTCGGCTGCACTTTGAGGTTATGCTAGCTCATATTCTCCATTTTATTTTGTAAGCAAAGGCGATACGGAGAAAAACCAACCAACATACAAGACAACTTTGTCTTTGTCCTTCATACTTTGCCAAATGGTACCTTTGGTTTGAAATCACGTACTTTTGCAGGCCATAGAGACCCACCTAATTCGAAAATCAAGTGGAGGGCTGACGTACATCGCTGAGTGGAAGGGTGGGCTGCTTGAACACAAGATGGGACATCTGACTTGTTTTGCCGGAGGCATGTTTGCTCTAGGAGCAGATGGAGCACCTCATGACAAGACGGGCCATCACATCGAGCTCGGTGCTGAAATTGCTAGGACTTGCCATGAATCCTATGATCGTACAAGTAAGTACTGTATTGCAGAGCTTACTTTCACAGTTTGACTTTGTGAAGGCAGCCATCGGAATTTTTGCATAACGCTGAATGAAAGTTGTAGGATGGTGAGAACTCTTCATCCTTTCTGAGCAAATGCTGCTTTGCTCTAAGAATGGCTGCTCTGTTTTATAAATAATTTCTATGCGCCTGAATCATATCTACTCACTCTAGTAATTTACGTGACAGCTTTTCTTTCACTTTGCCGATTTCTGTATAGCTGAACACAAATAAGAGAGGGACCCTGTTCATTTATGCATCAGTATAGCTATTAATCATGTTTTATGCACAAAAAATTATTTTTTCTCACTTCTGTTGGTACAATGCTGCAAACAATAGAATTGCACAAAATGGATTTCTGTGCAGGAAATTTCTGTGGATTTGTTCATCTTCTTATAGAAATAACACTGGCAGCATTTCAGGTCTCAGCGTGTTTTTTCCAGTTTGATATAGAAAAGTAAATATCCTCATCTTTTAAGCAAAATTTCACATATTGCTAGTTATATGAAGTCTTCCAGAATGCAAATGTTAGCATCACTGTTCAAACTGGAGCTGCTGTTTAGGGCATTGATGAACAGCAGCTCTCTTCTACTCTGAATTATTTACAAAATATTGAAAACAGGAGGTGCTGCAGTATCATTCAGAAACTACATACCTTCGGGTGGGTAACTGGCTTTGTGTCACCGGAAAGGATAGTTGATTTGGTAGGTTAGATAATTTGAAACCTTTTTTAATGCCTTTATTTTAGTGTGTGTTTTTATATTGGCTAGGCATGAAACTGGGACCAGAAGCCTTCAGATTTGATGGTGGTGTTGAGGCCATTGCTACAAGACAGAATGAAAAATACTACATCCTACGACCAGAAGTCATAGAGACGTACATGTACATGTGGCGGCTCACTCATGACCCCAAGTACAGGCAGTGGGGATGGGAAGCTGTAGAGGTAATGTTCTGTTGGACTTTTTCCTTATTAAATCCTAGTATCTTGTTAAGTGAGCTATTGAATGATACCTGGATATTGTTTAGCAGATGGAGAGTAAATATTTATTTATTTTAAATCAATAATATCAATTCAAATTTCCAGAGATTCATTTACTAAATAAATGAAGTAAGATCATTTTCACAAAACCCAACACTGCTGGTATATATTAGAAAAATACCTTGTGATTTCTCCTTCTTAAATACTTCTCAGATCAGGGTCATATTTGGATGCACTGTTCAAGATGTTGAGTGTTGCTGCATATGAATGGGAAGTGCAAACGTGTCAAATTTGAGCCTTGCACATGGAAATAAGTTTTATGAAGTGTATTTTCAACAGCAATTGTACAAAGGTGATTTTGATTAAGGTGATGAAGGCCAAGATGAAGTACTAGATAGTACCGAACATTTGAAAAATGGGTCACTTTCAAAAAGCATAGGTCATATGGACTGAACTCCATTAATGGTAACAATCTCTTCTAGATTTAAATTTCTGTGTCCCGCTAGCCTTTGAGCATCAAACAGTCATGCGGAACCTGGCTATTGCTATGTGTGTCTGTCTAGCACAAGCCTTCCAAGAGGGGAGCTAGTCTATACTGCAAAAATTGGCTTGCCAAATCCATTGTTTCCCTTATTTCAGTGGTTAATCACTCTTACTGTTAAGAGACGAAAGCCTTTGGATTTAGCATGTTTCATCCTCCAGGCGTGGGCCCTTATTACACTTCTAGAGTTCACTTATTTTCTCCTCACGTTGATGTTGCCCTTGCTAAATTATCTGCCTTTCACTCATACTTTGGAATTTCTAAGCAGACTGAGATCTTATAGGAGATACAGGAAGCTGAAGAACAATATTTTTGCAGCTCTGTATACACAAGAAAAATGCGAAAGAATCCCAAAACTCTGTGCAGTATTTTGTTCACAGTGACCTCTCCTTTGCAGAGTCATTGCTTTCCAGGATTTCAAAAACATCGTGTTTGTCAGTTTGCCCGACACCTCTTGTTTTTAGGAATGTATGATTATAACTTTCTTGGATGGGCCTACACCACTAGTTGTAGAACATTGCTCTGTACTAAGGGAAGAACACGTAGGCTTGTGTCGTGCAGTTTCTTATCCCCGAGGGAGCTTACTAGAGAGCTGTGAGTTATGATTCCATATACCTGGCTGCAACATGACATCCACCGGTTACCTGGCTCCCTCAACGGCAACCAAGATTTGTAATTGTATTCAGTATTCACTGTGTGAGATACTGACTGTATCTCAAATGTTGTGCACGTGTTGTTGAGTGTTGTGAAAAAAGAATGTTTCAAGTTTGGTAATTAGATATTCTTGAAGAATGAAATTTATGGTAAAATCTGCTTTCCATAAAAGAATAACTGCTAGCATTAACTATACTTCTGCTCTCTAACTTCTCCTTGTTTGAATATTCACAGCAATTCCATATCTGTAGCCAATGCTTTATTCAGCTAGGTAGACTGTAGTTATTTAGGACATTTTATTTGCCTCCCTCAGGTGTTGCCTCTATCAGCCTTGAAACAATATGCTTCTGAGTTAATGATTCCAAAGCAATTTTTTTTAAAAAAAACTCTGATTTAGAGTGCTGTTTCCTTCCATTCTTCTTCACTAACACCACCCATAGACACGCATTTTACTACTGGAATCTTCCCAGGCAGATTATAATTGGAATATTTACGTGGCTGTTTATGGAAGTCATACCACCAGGCTTCAGCAATGCCAAGTGTTCCTTCTCCAGGAGATGTTTTTCCTGACTCATCGTTGCTGCCCACACTGATAACAGTGTTATAAACAATTGAAATGTTTTCCTTATTATTATTCTTTACCCTGTTGGTTCAGTTTGTGTTTATTTCAAGTTTGTACACTCATTTACCTTCTTAGCGCTCCCCATGTGTTCCTTGTTTAACATTCTCATGGTTGCTCTCATCTGGCTCTAACATATAGTGGATTACGGCCTGTGCGTGGGAGATGCAGCTGGTCCCATTCTGTACAGGCCCATCTTCAGCTGTCCTAACATGCAGTTGTGTGTTTCACAAAAACAAATCTTACAGCTTCACAGAAGTTACATGGTCAGTTGTAGGTTTCAAATAATTCTTTCTCTTTTTTTTTTTTCTTCTTCTTTGATATTTATAGCCATACAGCTCCACCTGATACTATATTTTTTTGTTCCAGCATGTGTCACGATAGCTTACTGCAACTATTTCATAAATTCTGCTCCCTCTTGCTCCTTGTTCTTGCACCAGAGCGTGCGTCACTCCACCCTTTTTGTTCTTGGGGAAGTCCCTAACCACTGAATACGGTTGGTTTCGTTACCAGCACCTGTTGCATGAAGAGGAAGCTGAGATTGAAACAAGAAAAAAGGGGGAACAATCAGGCCATTTGTTGTTGCCCAAAAAAGTTGTTTTTTCAGGTCTATTTTCAACTCATGACACTGGCAATAAGAACTCATTAGGTTTGTTTCCCAGTGCCCTTGTAGTAGAAAAGGAGGCTGCTCTGTAAGTCATGACTTCTAAACTCTCCAACAAGTCTATTAATTCTTTCTCTAACTTTTAGAGACTGAAAACATGCTCTAGCCTCTCCATTTTTTCTTTGGGAACTTGCTGTGCTGCTTTAATTTGAGTCCAAGATCATTCTGTATGTACTTCAGCAGTTGGAGAAAATGCAGTTATGACCAACAGCAATATCCACTGTTACTGAGTCAGAAAGGTTTTATCAGCTTAGCTCATGAAAGTCTCCCTTTCTGCATTATAAATGTGGCACATAATTTGAATTCATAGCACTTCCTTTGTTTTTTCTCTTTATGATACTTTGAGACTGTCAGCCAGTTTTCACTCTGCTTGATATTTTCCATTACGCTAGCATAACTGATCTTAGCCACCCTCCTTTTCTGAGAACTACTAATTTAAAATGTGTTTGATTGTTACTACCCCACTGTCGCTGTGAACATCACTGTACAGGCACAAAAGGCCATTACTACCAGTTAAAGGAAGGTGATATCCAAGAGCCTTTTTATTGTACTAATGCTGCAGGTGAATGTCCTGTCCCTTTAGTTAAGTGGAAAGTAGCTTTAAGGGGTAAGAAAGATCCTTCCTGTTTGCATCAAGAAGATACCACCAGATGGGTAATGTGGTGCAAGTTAACCTCTTCATTTACATCATAGCAGTGTGTTCAGGTACCTATATGGTATCTCCCTACAATGAACTCATAAAGAAGGCTCTAACTACATGTCAGAGCACCTAAACCATAAATTTGCTTTTATTTTACCTCACCCTGTTTAGAATGTAGATATTTCCTTGAATAGTAGCCTTATCATTCAAGCTGAAGTTCTCCTTCTGCTGTGCCTTGGAAAACATAATCTTGTGTTTGACATTGAAAATCCAGACACAGATTCAGCATTTTGAATTCATTGCAGGTTGAAGTAGACGAGAGGGAAGGAGTACCAGCCAGGGGAAATTACTTGTTTAAACTTAAGTATATTTGTCACTTAGTAAAAGTGTCCAGGAAAATTAAAGAACCTAAAGACACATAAGAAAAGACAAATAGGCCTTTTATATTTTAAAGGATCTCTCCTGGAGAAAAATCCCTTTTAAACATATAATAGGCAGCTTACTGTCCAGTGAAAACTATGGAGAGCCTGACATGGAAGCTAAATATATGCAGATAGCTACAGGGACTCCAGCAAAAACAAGGACATTTAGGATATCTACTCACAGCAAAACACCAGTCTTGAACAGCCTTTAGACCAGGTGGAGGTGATGGATACCTCAGTAATTATTAGTGACTTTTAGTCACATCTCTCATCAGAAAATGCTTATTCTGCCCATTTACTTGGTTTAGACAGATCTTCTGCCTTCTCGTAGCTTTTTGCTGTATATGATTTGAAAGGCTGCATCTTTCTCTAAATAAAATCTACACATCCTGTAATCACTTCGATGATATTTGTAGTAACTTCAGAAATGGGGGAACTAGTTGCCTTCCATCCCTCCATCAGGGCTTTGATAAAGCTCCAGGTATTTCTGCCACAGAGTTGTTGCTCCAATACCTGTCTCCACAGCAAGCACCATGTTTCAGAGTGGTGTGGTCCTGAGTGAATGTAGTAATCCACCATGCTTACCATCATTTTCATTGTGATAAGTTCATTAAGGGCTAAAGAGCATTTTCTGGATTTATTTTTTAATAAGTTGTTTTAAGTACAATCATCTTAGATTCTTTTCACTCCTTTATTATACCACATGATATCAGAGAGTTGTTATAAAACAGAATAAGAAAAATGAAGAGGCTAAGAATACTTTTGTCCTTGTTAAATAGGTCAATTATAAAGAAAAAAGGTGAATGAATATTTTTAAACAAAGCAGTGATAACAGAACTAATATTCAAATAAGGTATTGGATAGCAGTGTATTTAAAGAAGTTATAGCTCATATGTAGGCATATAGGTGCCACCTTTCTAATGCAAACACCTGTCTAAAATAACAGAAAGCAGCAAAGTTTATTGAATAGTACAACCATATATACCTTCCACTCTTCCAGCACCACGTACATGGGTTCTGCCCTTCTGTAGACACCCTTCAACTGATCTTTTTTCTCCTTCAAAACTAGCTGATCATATAGAACATTCCCGTGGGCAGAAATTATATCTTTAGGGGGTCCACGTGCTCCTTTTTATTGTAAAATAGGAATCAATCATCTGTTTTACACCTTGTATCTGAGTACACAATTTGGAAACTAGTTTGAGAAAAACAGATTCTTACATCTAAACCATGTTGCGTGCAGTCCAGCCACATACTAGATTTCCGTGTACTCCTGTGTAACGGACAGAGCTTTTTCAGAAAGGTATCAAAGACAAATAGTACCTACTGCAGAAAAGAAATTCAGTCACAGCCCAGTATCAGAGGTTTCCCATTGAAAAATGAAATCATTGCAAAGACAAACCAGACAACTCACACAGAAAATGGAGAGTTGTCTTTCCTTTTTCGAAGCAACTTGCAGGAGGTAAGGCAAAGACTGGTCTTTACCATGGTATTCAATTCTATCATCATCATTTTTAAGCACTAAAATATGACCAAGAAAGGTATATGTGACACGATCTCTGAAGACTGATAGACAAAGCCTGTGAGAGAGGCTATTGTTATTCCTGTTAAAAAGAAAAGAAAGTAAGTGAAAATCCATATATCTTTACATCCATATATCTTTCCTTCTGAAAACTGGTTTGTGTTCTTCCTGAATGTAATACTAGACACGTGTGCCTATGTTTTTTTTTTTTAAAGAGTTTTCTATCAAGAACTTCATCTAGTTTTCTCTCTTTATCAAAAAATTTGTGACTTTCTTTGGCTAGTTTTATTGTCAAACAAAGAAAAAAACAACAGATGATTCATTTTGTTAATCCCACTGTGGTGGGTTTTTTCCCCCCTCTTCAGGCACTGGAAAAACACTGCAGAGTCGATGGTGGCTATTCTGGCATTAGAGACGTTTATAACAATCATGAAAGCCATGACGATGTGCAGCAAAGTTTCTTCCTTTCAGAGACACTCAAGTAAGTTAAGAAAGTTGACTTTCATTAATATGAAGTAGTTCCTGGGTATCATCTTCACAGAGAAGTATTTATCATTAGTACCCTTGACATTCACGTAACAAAATCTGACTGAAATAGTAGAGCTTTTCTTAGGTGACAGGAAGCCAAATTGCCTTTTTTTCCCTTCTATATCAATAAAGTAAATTCTACGACTTCTGGAAATTATCTTGACTTCTGAGGAAGGTACTTCATAGTCTTTGTTGTGAAATTACATCTCCTAGCTTTGATAGGATCTAATTATATATGCCAACACTAGTGAAACAAATTTACTAGATAGAGGACTTATCAGGCTTGTATTGCATACCTTTTATTTTAAAACTACAGAAAAAGAAAAAAGAAGTCAACTTGCCTGGTAAGCTCACAGGGCCTGTTAAGAGAGAAAAACCAAAGCTTTCATTATCTATCACCGTCTCCTAAGTTTTTACTGAAGTAAAGGAAGTTTTGTCTTGGTCTCCATACTTTTTTTTTTTTTTTTTGCTGTGCAAGAAAATGTTGCAGAGACCAGAAAGAAGCAATCATGCTTCTTTTACTAGTGTAATACACTAGTAAATGAAATATCATAAATACATTTATACATATGGTGGCATTTTTTTGCGACAACATGCTCCCTCTGCTATACCTTTTAGATTGGTCTATCAGAATCAGACCAAGAATAGCCTTCAGGGAAGGATGGTGATTGAGAAAAAGTAAAATTTCATTTGCTAAGCAGACTGTCATCATTAAGCAGACTTCAATAAGCATGCTACAGTAGCTACCCCCTTGTATCATGACGATAAATAGAATGTTGGATTTGTTTATTGGTTACTGCTGGGTTTAATAGACCCTGTATTAGTAAATGGATGCCCAGGCTACTGGTCTAGTGCTAGTTTTTGTGTTTAAAAATCCTAAGCCAGAGGTTGTTCTCAGAAGTAAGACAGGATTGGACAACACTATTTTCATTCCTAGACCTTGATACATGTGGACATTCAGGAGGGAAAAAAAGTTACTATGGTTGTATATTATCAAAATAATATGTAATAAAATTACTGAGGATGAAACGGAAGTGAACTGATATTTAACCTTGATAGCCTAAACTTCTTTGTCCTCTATCAGGATAGAGACATTCTTTTGTTGGTCTCCAGTTGCTATTGCCCTTGAGTCCAATCCGAGTTGAGCAGCCCCAAAGTTTTGTGCTGATCATTGTGATGCTGGGACTTACTGGTGTTTTGTGTTTGGTCAGCTGTTTCCATTGATACCTTCATCTAGGGAAGTCACGTATTTATGATTTCCCAAAAACTACTGTAGTTTCACTTCCCTGATGTGGTCACATTTCCTGCTTTTTTTTCTTGCCAGGTACTTGTATTTGCTGTTTTCTGAAGATGATCTTCTTCCATTTGAACACTGGGTCTTTAACACAGAGGCTCATCCTCTGCCTATTCTTCACAAAGACTATGAGAATAAGGAAGAAAACCAGAAATAGATGAAGTTATGCTTTGTTTCATTCCTTAGGTTTCTTTCCAGGACTTGGGCACATGATTTGGTTTTAAATTCCTGAGTTAAATTTTTAAATCAAGTGTTTTGCAGTCTGTTTTCTTTAACAGTAAATATTTATGAATGGACCCAAACTAATTATAAAATCTCTAATCTAACTGAACCACTGCTTAGAAGAGAAATAGGACATAACTCCAGATTTTGTTAGGCTGCAGCGTCATCTTGGCCAAAAAGAGCAGAGAGTCTGCATGTTACTTGTTTCCCGTTATGCTTATAATTTGACTGCAAAATTTTTTCTCCTCTGTGAGGAGATGTCTGCTTTAAGCTGTAATATTTTGCCATGTTGCAAAAAGCCATATTGAATTAAGTATAAAGAGCTTTTTTCTTTTTTTGTTCTATGTTAATTTGTTTTGTGTGTCATCCAAGACAAATCTTGTGACTGTGACAGCCTCTTCTTATGCGGGTCTATCATTACTTGGTAAAGTATCTGATGTATTTCATTGTCAATGAAGTCTACATAGGAATATTTTCATCTCATGCAGACATGACTCTGAAACTGCAGTATACGTTGAAGTTAAACTAAACTAATTTCGATGAATTTAGCGCATTAGTTAGCAGACCTTAGTTTTTCAGGTTTTTATTAGAATATTGTAATAGAATAAATTGTTTCCTCCCTTTTCTAAGTGGTGTTAATCTCATGTCTTTAGTCAGGCTACTATGGAGTAAAATAAGATAGTAATTTCTTATTAAGAAAGGAAGTCTTACCTTTATATATTTAGTCCAGTAGCTTCATTTGGCTGGATGGTAAAAAGAAAAAAATACTCGATGACATTTTCTTGGAGGCTGGGAATTATACCAGAGATAATTTGTTTGGTTTTCTAGGACTTTTGCAAACATTTGAATAGGTTCAGACTTGACAGTTTATTGTCACAAAGCAATTTAATGTATCGACATGAATAAAGCTGGATGTTCAGATGCCTTGAAGAAACCTTGTCTCCTTAAAAGAAGATAATAGTTCAGTTATCCAGTGTAGGACTAAAACTTTCTGAAGGCACCGAGTCTGTCTTCTCTAAGTGGCAGAAATGCAGTGTGCTTAAAAATATTCCCTAGATTAGAGGTCTGGCTTACTAAGAAAGGTAACAGCTTTGCCAAAAATGTTTTACTTCATGGCATCACCAAAGGAAAAAGAAAAGAAAAAAAAAAAAAAGGGCACAATTAATTCCTGTTTCTACTTAAGTGTAGTTTAGCGTGGTTTACATTATTATTAATTTTACGTACATTTTCATTTAATGACAGGACAACTCTCACATATTTTGAGTAGGGTGTAACATGTGGCTTCCCGTTCTGAGAAAGCACATTATTCACTGATTTTACTGTGGCAAAACAAATATCGTTCTGAACAGTAATCTTCTTTAAAGGTGTGTAGTAAGCTAGCTCACATGTCCAGCATAGCTAATCACAGCTGAGGAAGCACATTTGTTTGTTTAGGCATTACAAAGTACATTTTTTTCTATACTGACAGAGGTCTGCAATGTAGTTTTTCTTAGGTAGAAGCCAAGAGTAAAGATAACGGATTACATTTTTATATATAGCAGCCAGAGGCTGACCCATAAACTTGACCCTCTGGAGTCTGTAAAAAGACAGCACTGCCTCTCTGCATCCCCTGCAGACAGAGAAGATGGCGTGTGCCACATGAGCTGCCAAAGACATTTATGTAGGGGCCAGGCAAGAGCATCTTCAGTGATGCTGATCCTTCTGCCCCGGGACTGGCAGAGCTGTGCGTTTGTACCTGGAAGTCAGATGGGGTACCCTGCTCAGCCTGGGCAGGCCAGAGCTGGGAGAGCGGATACAAACTTATGTGCGTCTGCCTCGGGAAAAGCCTGCTTACACGGAACCGGTACATTGAGTCAAGACTTTTTGCTTTACTGCTTTTTTTAATTATTATTATTTTCTTTTTTTAAAGTATGGATTCTCTCATGTCACAGTAACAGTTTTCTGAAACTGAATGAGCAAGGGTGAAGTCTTGGCTCTCCTCTGTTGGAAAGCAGAGCTCCCAGTGATTTTGATACTCCAGAATTTGTGTCATTGGAGGACTATAATATTTAATTGTATTTCTTCAGAAACAGTATTTATAAGGGACCTCCCCCCCCCTCCAGGTACCACAGAGAAAATTATAGCTGTGGAATAAAACCAAAAATACTATTCCCTCTTTAACCAAAAAGTAATAATAATTACTTCTGTCTTGGTTATTTTTATTGGGTTTACATGGTTGTGCATGTGCTGCTATAGGCTTCCTATCAGGTAAGTAACTACAATTGCTCAGACAAAAAGTCATTGGGAAATGTGTTTTGTAAACCTCTTTTTACATGGTTTTCTTAGCCACAGTGTACTTCCCTCAGCTGTGTCTAGTGATCTTGCCTTCACTTAACAAGCTGAAGAGAAACACTGGAGAACCAGATAGCTCTTCTCCACATTTCAAAAAGCAGCCTACAAACACACGGCTCTTGTATGCATTGGGTCCTATGTACTTAACTATAAGCGTCATGACTGTTTCCTTGTAATGCAGACATTTAGTATGAAATTTTTTTTTTAGTTTGAGAGTTGCGATGGTTTGAAAGAGCACAAATTTGATGTGACTGGTATTGGTATTCAGGTTGTATGTACAAACTGCACTATACTGTACTTTTTGTAAACTAATGTAAGTAGACGAGAAGATTGTACAACATGTAGATCTGCCAACTGTAAGAAAAAAACCTTTTCATAGACTGAGAATATATTGATTTTTCTTCCTTTTTTTTTTAAATAACCCCAAAACACCAAAGTTAGAGCAAGCATTTTGAAACAGTCTGTACTTACCACTGCTTGTTAGATTGCTGAGACAACATGCGTTTTATTTCCCGTTCACTTAACTAGCCGCATGGAAGTGGCTAGTGGTGGTCACTTTGTGTTCCCAGTCATTCCTAGGAGCAAAAGAAATTGCTTTATTGTTGGGGGGGAAGGACACATCGTCTTTGCATAAACACACTGCCTATACTTTTTCCATTTCTTTGTAGCATAATAATGCATTTAAATCTGCATATGCTAAGTCCTAAGAGGTAGATCACTTTAAATGGCACCCACATTGTTTCATGGGGAAAAAATATGTTTTGATTGTTTGTGAGATAAGTATTGCATATGTGTTGGTTGTACACAGATTTTTGCAATGCCCAATGCCTCACTGTTTCTATGGTGACTTCATCATACATATTATCCATTTCTATCATGCATTTAAATTGGTTTTGATTTGTACATAGTCCACTTAGTCTTTTCATCTTTCTAAAAACTGAAATTATGGAATACATAATAGATCAAGATGCTTAATTTTTAAGAACTTATATTTGTAAAAATTTCTCTATTGTGAATAAAGTCTTTTAATATATCTGTTCAACTTGTTATAATTTTTCCTAAGTGTGTTGCAGAAGTGAATAGAGGAATCTGCTGCATAGTCTGGTTTGGTTGCTATATTCTTTAATGTTTGTCAGCAGATTGGTTTGATACAGATTAGTACTCTGTGTACTTGTTAAGATACTATTGTTAATTAATGTTAGTCAGCATATAGAATTGCTACCACAGAAATAAATTTCTAGAAATTTTTGTCAATAAAATTCAGCATACCAGATGTATTTTGGTAGAAAGTGAGCCTACTAATGAAAAGTGGGAAGCCGAGAAGTCAGAGGCGGCAGGCAGTAAGCACAGCGAAGGTCAGTCACTCCAATTCACGTTCTGCACAATACAAGCGTGCTTCAGCTAAATGCCACTTGGAGCAAACACCGGAGCTGAGATGCCAAGGCTGTCACAGTGCCCAGCATTATATGATCACGTAATGAAATGCTACCCCTAGTCTGCTCCATAGGAGAGAGGAACAGTTGTCATAGGAACTGTAACTACGTTTTGGAGATCTTAACATCCTTCGGACACAATCTAAATATTGAAATAACAGCTACACCTCATAGATAACCTTGTTTTCTCTGTTTAGTAGAAAACCTCACCCAAAGAGGATAGTGAAATAAACAACTGCAGTGATTGTACAGAACAGTCTCAGTGGTATCAATTTCTGTCAAAGCACTTGCTCATTAGACCTGCTTAAGTCATTTCTGAGGGTAGGCAGCAGGCCATCCCCTCCCGTAGCTTGCTCCAGGACTGCGCAGGCTGCTACTCAACAACTGAAACATGAACTAATGCAGGTCATTATTCTTGAGAGATGGAAACACAAGCCTCTGTTAGAATTTCACCTAATTCAGTCTCTTAATTGGATGAATGGTGTGGTTTGTTTTCTGCAGGGGAAAAAGGAACTAGGACCAAGTTGACGTTTAGTCAAGACAAGCAGGATTTGCCCCACCATCTGCATTGCCCTATAGCCTTGCTCTATCACAAGAGGAACTCGGCGCTCCCATGCCAGCATCTGCTATGGAAACAGCCCTTCATCTGATCTGCCTTAATCTTGGGATTAGTCTGTCCTGGGTGATCTCAAATGCAGGAGGAAAGGTTATGCATCAAAAGGCAGTCTGCCAAACCCAGGGAACAGTCACCGAGGTTCCAAGTTCTTGTCTGAATACCACGAGACAGAACACAGGGTGGTTGTGCTCTCCTGGTTTTGTGCGTTCATCCATGCACAAAGTGGTGGATGGAGCAAAGCACCCAGCTGCAGAATCCAGTTAGAGCCCAGCAGGCTGTTAGCGTTCAGCAGTACCTCAAAAGCCACCGGTTTGACCTTCATTTCTCAGGTATCATCTGCTCCTCTTATCTGCACCAGCTCTCACTCACCCTGTAAGTAAAAATCACCAGGATCAGCCTTCCCTTTGGAAGCCCCTCTCAAACTCACATGCTCGCCAGACTTTCCATGCACACTTTGTGGCTGATTTGTGGACTGTTTGCCTTTCACCATTCCCATACTGACATTTTATGGGATATTAAAATATTAATAATGAGAAGGGTCTTTATCCCTTCAATTGTGTGTTGCTTTCACACCGTCAGAGTAGCACAGAGCTACTATTAGTCTTGAGCCCCTCCAGTTAAGTTAAAAAAAACCCATCAGTGTGACTTTATTATACTGTCATATTCTAGCCATTGATTCATCTGCCAAGGAGCATCAGCCTATGACAAGGGGACTTGCTGATACACCAGAAGCTCAGAGAGGTGTTATGTTTGGTAATGCATATGACAGAAGAGCCCAAAGTTACTTATTTCAGCCATGGGCAATTGTTAAAGGATTCTGATGCTGCAAATAGTGATCCTATAGTAATGGTAGGTTATGTGATTTTAAGAAGTTCATTAGCACATAGGCAATGGCATACTGAGGCACCATCAGCCCATCAAAGGCCCATCTCCACGCTCCCGGAGGAGTGCAGAA